ATTTATAGAATATTGTAAAAATTATGGTCTATTACCAACATATACATATATATATATATATATATATATATATATATATATATATATATCATAATAGGAGACAGTGTCAATCTAGAAAACATTGACAGGGAGTAGCGTTCAGCGTGGTGCCAACTTTTCTGCTGATGTCAACTTTTCCGTTAAAACAACTTTTACTAACTTTTAACACAAATATTGCTCACAACGGGGGGCCAGTACTCAACTCGGGCCCTCTAGATCCGCCACTGTATATGCTGTATATATGGATAGATTTACTCATATAGGCATAGCAGTATGTTGAATTGTCCTTTCTTTATGTGCTGTTATTGAAATGTCCCAGATACAGAGATGAAATGATTGAAGTCTATGAAGCACTCTATGGTCTGTTTGGTAATAAAGTTTCACCTAACCTCGAGTCATTAGAGTTTAGAAAAATCTAGATCCAACAAATTTTAATTAGACATGGAACATGATATGGCATAAGAAATTTTTGTTTAGTAGAAAGAATTGTAGATGCGTTTATGGAATACTCTCTATGGTGAAGTTGTCGAATCTCCGTGTTTGATATTATTCGAAAATAGATTGGATAATTAAGTGTTAACTGGTCCGTTTGTTACAATTGTATAAGAAATGTTGCTTGAATTGGAAATTGAAGTACGAAATAATTACTTTATTTTTCAAGCACTCATGTATGTGTGTGCGTGTGTTTGTGTGTGTTTGTGTGTGTGTGCGTGTGTGGTAAAGTTTGTAACCTCCAATATGTATTGCCGGAACTGGAAGAACTACTTCTCAATCAGCCATTATTTTCTTCTAGTTCTAAAAAAATTCAAATTATTTTTCCATTATACAGTTTTGTATATGCGAGTGAAAATGCATATATTAGTGGATTCTAACGTGTAACTAACTAACAACATCTTGATACATTTTTCTTCGACGACCTAAAGGACAACTGACTTAACAGATTTCAAACCTCCTACTCCACAAAACCAGTCGGCAGAGGATTGGAACTAGTTATGCAAAGTAAATGCATTCAAGTGTCCTTAACTTGTACGGTCTGAAATATCTCTAATCGAACTTTCTAATCAGAAGCCGAAAGAAACCTAAAATATAAAATACATATACATCAACTAGAAACAACAAATACAATCATCTAAAAGATTTCAGAAGAGAGTTAAAAAGTTATTTGTTTAACAGAGCATTTATTCAGAGTACTATCCTCTGAGGAATGTCAATAGAGAGTGAATTATATAATAATCTTATATCAACACATTAATCTAACCCAATTTATTCATTAATGTCATTGTGAAATAATTAGAATATATAATAAAGGTATCTCCACTAAATAATAAGGATCTCTCCGCTTCTTTATTGCGCCAGGGCTTTTTAGTCTATGGCTCTGCATATTATGAATAATTGTCTGTGTCTAATTGTCTAATTGTCTAATTGTCTAGTTGTCTAATTGTCTTATTGCCTAATTGTCTATTTGTTTAATTGTCTGATTGTCTAATTGTCTGATTGTCTAAATGTCTGATTGTCCAAATGTTTATTTGTCTGATTGTTTAATTGTCTAAGTTTTTTTGTATAATCAGTAAAATAACGATACATATTGAATGTTTATTTTGCAACAAATATGAATGAATCATGTAATGAAACTCTTGCACGAATATGTAAGTATCTGCAAAGTAATCTACTGGCAGAATGGAGACTTTTACACATCACACCGGGTGCTGATCATCATTTAATTTTTCAAAATTTTTAAAGTTTCGCAAATTATTAAATGATTTTATTAACAGTAAATTTAAAAATTTGATCCTAGAAATAAACATAAATTGAAATCCGCAAATCGATTGATTGGAATTTTCACAACCATTCAGCCATATTTGCCATAGAATAAACTCATTAAAAATTCATTTTAACTTTTATTCAATGAAAATCAAAGAGAAAAGAAGTTGTTGAAAAAATTTAAAACGATGAAAAAAAAAAAATTAGAGAACAAAAAAAAAATGTTCTCCTTGACAAAAAAGTTGAACACTCCTCTTCAATATTCATCACCCCGGGCAGATGGAAATTACGAGAAAAAAGTTTTAAATTATGTGTACTTGCTTATGCATGACACAAATATATGGTGTTACATTCATCATCTTCATCTTCCTACTCATCATCATCTTCATCTTCTTGCTCATCATCATCATCATCATCGTCATCCTTTGCATCATCATCATCTTCTTCATTGGTGTTGTTATCGTCACCATACGCACCATAACTCCCGTCATCAGCATGAACAAAAAAATAATTTTAAAAAATATTGAATAATAATAATAGTAATTTTTTTTTCAATAGTAATAATAACAATAATATCAATAATACGAATAATAAAAATAATAAAAATAATAATAGCAACAATAATAATTCAAAGATAATTATGATTTAAAAAATCAATTAAGACTACATGGTACATTAGTGTGCTGGAAAAAATGGAGCCGAACATGGTCAAGGTGATAAATAAAATCTTTCATCTGAACGAGTGCGGTTCTAATAATAGCTATGATGATGATAGCGATGGTTATTATCATGATAATGATGATAATAAAGATGGTGATGATGAAAATAGTGATGGTTGTGGCGATGATGATGTTGATGGTGATGATGGTGATATTTATGGTGATAATAACGGTAATGATGACGATGATAGTGCAGACAAAGAAAAAAAAATGATGATGATGATAATGATGATGATAATTACGACGTTCGTGATGCAAATGTGACAGCAAAAAAAATTATTCACCCAATTTTTTTTCTCTCGCCCAACTTTCTTTAATTAAATACGTCAGAGCTAATTTTAAAACAGCTGCTCTGAAAAATATGAGATGTTCGTACATTGGACTATCTATGTATCTGTGTATCTATATATCTATGTGCCTGTGTATCTATGTATCTGTGTATCTATATATTTGTATGCCTGTGTATTTATGTATCCGTGTGCCCGTGTATCTTTGTATCTATGTGCCTGTATATCTATGTATCCGTGTGACATGTGTATCTGTGTATCTATGTGCCTGTATATCTATTTATCTGTGTGTCTGTGTATTTATGTACTAATGTTTTAAATTCAAATTTAGGTATCAATGTATCTTTGTATCTATGTATATATGTACCTATTTTTGTTTGATGATGTGTATATCTGGATATAAAAGTGCACTGCTAAATTAAATTTCACTTTTTATAAATGTTACATGACAAATATTTTGTTAAAAATTCTCCTTTGAGCAGTTAAAAAGTTTTGTATTTTTTGATTGTTTTTTTCAGTCTGTAAAAAATTAACAAATCCATCAGCGTAATTTGCTGTAGTTGTGCTGCAGAAACGCAGAAACATTCAGAGGCTGTACGGAATGTTTCAGGTTGTATCCAACTCCAATGATAATGTGGTTTTAACGCGTTAGTGTTGTTGCTTTGGGAACTTTTAATGCGAGTCTAAGAAATGTTACAACCCTTAGTAGGTTCTGTAACAAACACCACATTTTTTTGTAACCAGACCATCTAACCAATTTTTTATTTTCATTCATTCATTTTTTATCAGTTTATAATTCATTCAAAATCATGTTGATATGCTTTAGAAATTATAAATGCCATACAATGCAATGGAACCATTACAAACCCTACTATTTAGGGTGCTACAAATTAATTTTAATCAGCGAAGAGTAATGGAGAGAAGCGTGAAAATATGTTACGTCAAAATTATTGGAAACCAGTTTCCAATCAATGGATTGTTTTTTGAGGTTTTAATAGCTTGTTAGTAATCAATTCATTTACAATTCTTTAACTTATGCAAAGTCGATTCGTTATAACAACCAAGTGTTCATTGATAATTTTCAAATTAACATTTAGGTACTTTCATGTTAATTGTATGACTGAATACAATTTGAGACATAAGTTATATAAGAATTGTCTCAATCAACCTGTCCCTCAGTGTTCTTGAAGTAAGCAGGCTGTCTAATCAACTCGAATAATTTGTAAAATTGTAGCAGACATTTTGATTGATGAATGGTATTCTTCTCTTTATTGTCAGGATTTATAGCCAAAAACGACTCTATAGTAATAATTTCCTTGTCGCCAAGCTTTCTGCCTGGCATGGTTTATTGCTACAAATCAAGTTATGCCTACACTCTTTTTGGGACATTAGAAATGCTAGAGAGTATTATTTCCTCTCTTGCTCGGACCTGTTTTCAGTCGAGGCGTATTTATATGGTTCTGCGTGTGTGTGTGTGTGTGTGTGTGTGTGTGATTGCTTGTGAGTTGGTGTGAGTTTTTTAAAGCATGTCTGTATAGGAGCTTCATGGAATGTGTGTACTGTGTATGTTGATTTATTGTGTGTTATTTCATTTTGGAGATAATTGGAGTTTTTTTTTCATTCTGTAAATCAAACTCTGTCAAACGCGAGGAAAGTTACAACATGCAGGGTGATTTTATTTTCAGTTTTCACTTTGCTTATTGAATTGTATGTTTGATTTCCTGCTAGTTTCATTTTTATTTTAGTACGCAAGAAGTTTTTCCAATTGTTCGTATGAGAGATTGCTTCGTTCATTTGAGGACGGTCTGCTTAAGTTTTTTCTTACGTTCATTGAATCAACTTATTGCATTCAATTCACGTCTCAACATTTTCCTACAAGAGTTTCCAACGTTCCGTGTATTGTTCTGCTCTTCTTTTTGTTTTTTTCTTCTTTTTGTTTGTTTCTAAATTATTTTCATGCTTTTGGTAGTGGTTTAAGATTCTTAATACTTTTCATTCATGGCGATATTTTGTTTTACTTTGACGTGGAATTCTTTTCTCAGCGATGATTTATGAATAAATAACTAAAAAACTAAAATGGACCGGAGTTTTTCAGATTCCCATTCGCTCATTGGTCAAACAATTTGAGGACTAGGTTGATGTTATCTTTTTTCTGTTAAAAATATTAACCTTCAGACTTGTAACATCATCATGCGTATTTCATTTTTAATTAAAATATAAACTAGTTGAAGTATTAATTACTAAGAAATGGTTTGATCCCTTTTACACAAAATCGTTCCTTGCAGAAAAACTCACTTTATGATGTAATCTGATAAAAGTATCTACTTGGATTTATTAATATTTTTTTCAAATTTAACAGGAAAATGTATATAAGAAATGATTTCAAATTGAAAAAAATTCCCCGTGTGAGTAAATGAAAGATGACGCCTGAATCGCTCGGCACAGAGCCTGTTAAATCGACGATGACATCTCCTTTGATGCAATCAATTCGTGCAAGTTCGACTGGATGAAGACGTTAAAAGTGATGGACTTGTTTGCGTACCGTACGAGAAGTTCACGTGTTTGCTACACACCGTGCACCGTGCACGGTGTGTGTTATGCACGTGCGTGAAAATGTGCTGTTAAAATGCACGTGTGTGCATTACGTAAGTATTCACCATTTAGTATTTGTGTCATGTATTCTGAAGTAAAAAAAGCATTTATGTAATTTTATACTCAATTTCAAACACAGGCCAATCAAATTTAAACAATACACATATGAAAAACACACACACAGGCTTGAACAAACACACACACACACTTACACACACATACACAGAGACACATACACACACGCACACACACATACACAGAAGTAAAATTTTTAACTGAGCGTGTTTTCTTTTGTTGCCAGCATATTGAATTACAATATCACCCTGGCAACCAGACGCAGATCCACACGCAAGCCGCCATTATATCGTCATCGA